CGTGGTGAAGTGCAAAAAAAAGTTAATGGCAAAGCCTACGGTGTTATCTTCACTGACCTTACAATGCGAGCAGTCTATATAGAAGCTGTGTATGGACATGATACCACCTCCTTTCGCATGGCTCTTAGCAGATTCACCAGTCTCAGGGGCGGATCCAGCATTTTTGAGGACTAGTTTCAAACTCGAAAAATGTTGTATTGACATATGCTAATTAATAAAGCACATGAAAATTTATATTTTAACAGTCTACACTTACATAATAAACTGTGTGCATTGCTCACATTCCTACAAATTCAAATGTCGAGTCCTAAGAGCAACTGAAAAGGTGTATTCGGATTGGACGGGATTTCAAGACCTTGCTAACGCCTCGGACTGGAACTAATTGGGCGGACTTGAAATCCCGTCCAGTACGAATTGGAGGACTTTAAACATTACTTCCAAAACTTTCCAAAACCAGTACGAGCCCTGCATCTAATACACTATAGTCATTATTGGAATTTTTAATTTTAACTGATAAAAGCTTCAAAAAAGAAATTTACAAGTTTCGCCAATAGCCGACTTTAGATACACCTACTTGCAGAAACGTTGTCATAGAAAATGGAACATTCGAATTTAGTAAAAAGGAATAAATGAAAACAAGACAAAAGAAAGCGTTCAGCCTCAGTGATCTTCTTTTGTCTTTTTAATTTATMCCTTTTTACTAAAATACAAATATCCTATTTTTTTCTGACAATGTTTTCGCAAGTAGGTGTATTTTGGTTCAGTGACCATGCACAAAAGAAATGCAGACGAGGCTCCASAGAAATAAAATAAATCAAGATCTTTTGTACAAAGTCATCGAACCAAAATATCTAAAGTTCACTATAATTGGTTCCCTGATTAATAATGGAATATGACACGATGTGAATGTGAACGCAAATGAACCGAAGAAGAAAACAAACAAACAAAAAACAGCATCTACGAGCAGGAAAAACCGTCTGTTAAAAAGCACCTGTCCACATTTGTGGCTTGTGGGAAACATAATTATGATGACGATGAGGTTTTATTTAATTCTATGTCTTTTATTTAATTCTATATGATGCTTTAAATTCTATGATTATTTTTTTTTCTGCTATGAAAAGATCCGTGAGCATAGATATATATTGAATGCTTGTATCGATGTAAACGCTAATCTCATTAAAGCCGTGTTTCTGGCCAATAAACATCATTTGTAATCACAAGAAAATCAGTCTTTCTTTAAAATTGTCATCTTGCTTAAGCAATGTATTATGTTGATGTCGCTGTCTTTTTTTCATCAAAGAATTGAAGTTACAATTAAATACTTTTAACATTCCATCAGGCATCCCAGCCACTTTCTAGACAAATTTGATAGGAAATATAGGCTATCAATTTCTAAATATAGTAAGATATAGGATTCTTCCCAATATATAGGAGTTTTATAGGAGCTAGCTTAGCTTTTTTCGTAGTATTATACATTAATACTAAGAAATGACAAATCTGTTTCAAATCGATATAAGATGTATTTAAACTTTCAGCATCTTCCATTATGCTTATCAACACCAAATAGCACCATGTGCATGAAGCTACCAGGTATTAAAGGCTCATGCGCATGCAAGTTCTTCTGGACCCTTTTCCCTGCGAGAGGACCGTTAACCGAGCGGTCGAAAGGGGCTGGGACTGGACTAGGAGGGGCCGCAAGCGTGCCCACCAGGTGGCGAGTAGTGTCACAGGTAACAGCAAAAATTGCCGCAAAAATGATAGCGCCCTCGTATACCGCATAACCGACCCGATCACGTGAGCTGCGTCCTTCGTAATTCAGCACTCGGGCTGCAAGGATGGGCGATTAGCTACCACCAATTTATTTATTAATTAATTAATTAATTAATTAATTAATTAATTAATTAATTAATTTATTTATTTATTTATTTATTTATTTATTTATTTATTTATTTATTTATTTATTTATTTATTTATTTATTTATTTA